ACAATTCCACAAGTACATTAAAATGATTAGAACCGATAATAGGAGCGAATTTGTTTCTATGCATACTTTCTTTCATAAGTATGACATTATTTTTCAACGTTCATGTGTCTCTACCCCCAACAAAATAGAGTAATCGAACGTAAACATAGACATATCCTTCAAACTGCACGAGGTTTACATTTTCAATCTCATATGCTATTAAACTTTTGGGATGACTGTATTCTTACATCTGTCTATCTCATAAATTGCATACCCACTCCACTCTTATGGGGCCTTACGCCTTATGAGAAATTATTTGGTCATAGTCCTTCATATACACATCTTCGTACCTTTGGATGCTTAGTCTATGCCACTAATCTTCACCCACAACATAAGTTTGATGTTCGAGCAAGAAAATGTGTTTTTATTGGGTACCCCTTCGGGCAAAAAGCATACAAGTTGTACGATCTTAATTCAAAACAGATTTTTACAAGTCGAGATGTCACGTTTCATGAAAATATTGTTCCTTACCACAAGGAACAAACTAATCCTGACATAAATCCCACTCATATTGCCCCAACACCTATCACAAATCACCCAATCTTTGATATTGAGCCAAAACCTATACAAGAACAACCTGATTCACACATTCTGGATAGTGACCCCAATCCAGCCATTCCAAATAGTCATGTTTCTCATGGATAGCCCACTGAACCTATCCTACCTGATGAACTTGTTACTTCTCTAACACCTTTAAGACGTTCCAGTCGCATTTGAGTACCACCAATTAAGTTTCACGATTATGTTTGTTCTACCGCTATGTCGTCCCCCACGAATTCCTCGATCTTTGGTCCTCATAGGTATCCTCTCTCCAATTACTTGTTATATACGAGACTCTCTCAAGCATACCAATCATTTATTGCACAATTGTCTTCTGCTTTGGAACCTAACAGTTATGTAGAGGCCTCAAAACACTATGAATGGCGCCAGGCCATGGATGAAGAACTTCAGGCTCTTCAAGCCACTGACACATGGACACTTACTCCTTTACCAGCTGGCAAGGTACCTATTAGATGTCGATGGGTTTACAAAATCAAGTGAAAATATGATGGGAGTATCGAGCGTTGTAAAGCTCATTTGGTTGCTAAGGGCTACACTCAATTGGAAGGTATTAACTATCATGACACTTTTTCTCCGACAGCTAAACTTGTTACTTTCCGCTGTTTACTTGCTCTTGCTTCTGCTCACTCGTGGTCACTTCATCAACTTGATGTTCATAATGCCTTCCTCCATGGTGATCTCATGGAGGAAATATATATGCTCCCACCGCCTGGTCTTCGGCGACTGGGGGAGAATTTGGTGTGTCGCCTCAATAAATCGCTTTATGGGTTGAAACAAGCCTCTCGTCAATGGTTCTTCAAATTCTCACAAGCTATCCAATTTGTTGGTTATGTTCAATCTAAAGCAGATTACTCTCTTTTTACCAAGAGAAAAGGAAAACCCTTCACTATGCTACTAATTTATGTGGACGACATACTCATAACAGGGAATGATTTGACGGCGATCAATGAACTGAAAGGTTGTTTAAATACCAAGTTTCGTATCAAAGACCTTAGTGATTTGAAATATTTCTTGGGGATCGAGGTGGCACGCTCGAAACACTGTATTTTTATTTCACAAAGAAAATATCTATTGGATATTTTGAATGATGTTGAGTTTCTAGGATTGCGACCTGCAAGCTTTCCTATGGAACAAAATCTTAAATTGCTTCCTGATGATGGTGACCCATTGGATGATCCAGCCAAGTATAGAAGATTGGTTGGTCGATTGATATATCTCATTATTATGCGACCAGATATTACATATTCTGTCCATTTATTGAGCATATTCATGCAGACACCTCGAAAGCCTCATTATGAAGCTGCTTTACGAATCTTGAAGTATCTAAAAGGCACACCAGGACAAGGCATGATGTTCTCTTCCCAAAATAATTTGAAATTGGAAGCGTATTGTGACTCTGATTGGGCAGGATGTCCAACTACTCGACGTTCAACAACTGGTTACTGTATTTTCTTTGGAAATTCTCTTATCTCATGGAAAAGTAAGCTTCAGAAAACTGTATCCTTATCTTCTGCCGAAGCCGAGTATAGATCCATGGCAGCGGCATGTTGTGAACTTACATGGATACAACATCTATTTCGAGACTTGCAAATCCAAGTTCAATGGCCGACTACTTTGTTTTGTGACAATCAAGCTGCTCTTCATATTGCAGCAAATCCTGTATTTCACGAGCGAACAAGACACATCGATTATGAAACAAATATACCGTAATTTGTTATTTTCCATCATTGTAATATTCCATCCATTAATAGCAGATCGTAGGAGCTATATATACTTGTACATTACGCAGAGATAAATAATAATATACAAGCATTATTCATTCTTCCAAATTTTACAAGCATGCCTCGCGTTTCTCAAATCTATTTTGGATACTACTCATTTAAAAATGGACTAATAGCAACTGACTTTTCTGTCAATAAAAATTTCTCTAGGTAAAATGACCAACAAATGTATCTACGGATGTGATTGCAGGTAATTTTCGACAAGCATGTCCGGAGATTACCTTGATAAATAAGTCTTTCCCCTTAAGAATAATTCCGATATATAAAACACATGTTTGTTGGAGATTAAAATCAAATTTTTTTGCGAATTTTCACGAAAGTTAACGAAATGTTTGATTGAAAAGTTGTAAGTTCATGAAATGTGCTATTAAAATTAATTATTAACTATGATTTTAATAAAAATTTAAATTATAATTTCTATCAAATATGGAAAAAAATCAACTTTGATGAATATTGTGGAATTCATTGTTAAAACCAACTTGGCAAATCGCCTATCCATGTGTAAGAATGAATCACAAGACTGATCAATAATTAAATAAATTATTATTTATATAAGTAATGAATCACAAGACTGATCAATAATTAAATAAATTATTATTTATATAAGTTACAAGATCGAATCATCGAGATTTGATAAATGTATTAGTATTCAAATCAACGAGGTTTGAATATTGTTCCAAAGTTCTGGAATCTAGCAATTTTTTTTAACTAAATTTATATTATATTCTATAAGATAAGATCACATCTTGAATTTAAAAATTCAAAATCAAATATAACTATATTATTTTTATATTATACATTTGATAAGTATATTTTACATGATTATCTAATCTCTTAAATCTACTTAATATATGATTGATTGAGCGAATTTAAACTCACATCATGTTGTATTTGACTTCTATAGGCTATAACCCCAATTTGAATGTATACAAAGCACAATGAAGTGATTTTTAGCATAATTGAACAAAACTATGATGTTGGATGAATATCGAAAAGTATCGGGACTCAATTGGAATTAATTGAAAGATTTATGAACTTTGGGTACGAAATGATTAAAATCAGAATTTCTGGGGCTAATGTGGATATTTGGACAAGATGGAGGATCTAAATTGAAGAGATCCAAGTTGGAGGACCAAATGTGGATGAAGTTAGAAGCTCAGGGACTAAAATGAATATTGTGGAATTCATTGTTAAAACCAAGTTGGACTGAATTCCTAAATAATTTATAAATTGATAATCAAATGAAACCTTATGTATACAAAACACGTGTTCAGTGCCGCCTTCCAGGGATCATGTCCGCAG